CCATTTCGAAGGCGCCTCGAAGGCAGAATTGTCCCGTCAGCTCATACTGTGAGATGAAGAGGAGAAAGTGGAGGAGGGAAATGTCAGATTTGTAGATCAGGCAGGGGGGGTTGTTTGTTGATGGATGCCCGTTGAAGGATTCTTGTTACCGGGAACGTTTCCTCCGGGGAAGAGGAAGTGGCTTGTTTGATGGAATGTAACTGGTTTGGTTTGCCACTGGTGTCGATTGTATTACCTACCTTACCTACTTGATATGGGCATAGATAATCACAGACTTTCGGGGAGCTATCCCGCCTGAATCAGTATCTATTCCAAGATGCTTTTTATATTACGGCTTGATTATATACTTTGATCATATATCTGATTCCTTTGTAGAGGCCAATGCTCATATCGTACCATCTTGGCTCATCTTCTCATGTGAAGATCAACTCCCGATCCTAAACCGTCCAACCACTAATCTTAGCGTCTTTTACCCCGCGAACTAAAATAAGGGGCAATTAAAGAAATGAAACGCGCCATTGGATACAGAGTTCACACCCCTGCAAATGGATTCAAATCTCATCTCGCTTTGGGGATCCTCATTCACTTGGCAGCGGTTACTTCTTCACGTCAAATCACGAAAGTAAGGCGGGAATAAATATCTGAGAGCTGTGATAGTTTGAGACATGCCTTGCTTGAGGCTGACAAACTGAGACATTCGGGCTAAAGGAGGCAGAGAGTTCGGGCTTCTGATGCCGAGTCATGGTGGTGGGTGAATCACAATATCACATGTGATGTATTGAGCCGCGGGACATCTCAAACTCTTGTAACCCTAGTCTAGCTGAGAGTCTTTACAGAGCCTTCTTGTCAATCCACTTGACGTGTCCAAACTTGCCTTCAGGAGTCTGAAATACATCCGCAGGCGCTCTATAAGGCTTGACCTCCGCGTCCGTCAAGACCTTGGTTACATTACTCGCCTTCTCAGCCTCAACATTATATCCCGGCCCATGATCATTCCACGTTGCCATGAAGGTATAATTATCAACTCTTGGTGTCGACTTGCTCCACTCGATATATCCAGCAGGCAATATCACAGCATCAAAGTAAGATTGCATAAAGATCGATTTGTGCTGCGAGTTCCATGGTCGGCCGAGGGCACATTTTCCAACAAAGTTTGTAGCGATGGTGGAGTTGACAGGGATGAGTTGTGAGTTGTCGATGTAGACGCCGTATTTGTTGGTGAAGGTCGTGTTGGTGCCTTTCCAAGCTGTGATACCGCCTCCGCAGCCGCGGAGAGATAGTGTTGACTTCTCAATCCAAGCTGTGCCGAAGCCGTACAGGAAATCAGTCTGTCCGGCGATGATGTTGTCGTAGAAGTATGCATTTCCAAGTTTTCCAACATAAACCTACAAAGTCAGCTATAATTTCATTTTCTCACCAATGGTGATTTTGACTTACAGTGTCTTGGTAAGAGTAGAAGCCACAAGAGTAAAAGCCCGCATTAGCCCGACTCACACCCACCGCATGCGCAGGTCCAACAGATTGAGGCGCAAAATCATTTCTGAAGTCAATGTTATACGCTCTAAAGTCCGTGCATCCGAACGGCGTGTCCTCGGGCACTGGAAAGCCCGTGGGCCCAGACCCAGTCAGGGTAGCGTTGAAGTTAGGTCCAACGGTGAGTACACTCGTGAACACATTGTCACTCAAACTTCCATTGTTCGTATTCGCAAGGTTGAACCAGATCTGAACATCGTTCTGAGCCGTGGTGTTGACGTCAATATCAGCGTAGAGATCCTTGACCCAAGGCTTGTTTGAAGCACCGATGAGATGAAGGGGACCTCGGCGGGTGACGTTCAATTGCTCGCTGTAGTTTCCAGGTGCAATGAGAATATGGCCCGCGGTTGTTGTGTTACCCAAAGAGTCGATGGCTTTTTGGATGGAGGAAAAGTCTGCTCGTGGATCATCCTTGGCGACGAAGAGAGTGCCCTTGGGACAGCCTTCTGTAGCACGCTTTGTCTGTCGTTGACATTTCTTGTACGTGTCAACAGGTCCCTTAGCGGATGCAGTCGCAGTGGAAAAGAGAGTCGCGGCAATAACAGCCGTCTTGATGATGAAGCCCTTCATGTTGAGATACGTGACACTTGGTCCAAACCAAAATACCACGGTCTTGAAGCTGCTATATAAATCTACTAGTTCAACCACGCATTGGCCGATCCTCCTTCATTTAAACCCCCAAAGCATATAACCAGATCCAAACTCACGTGTTAAAATCCACAAATCACATTCGAGGATGTATATTATTTGCAAGCTTATTCGGATATTCGATGCCGTAGTTAATATAATCCTCGATGAATCCCCGGCAATGGAACCTCACTAACGTTAGTTCTGTCAAGGCACGATCGGTAATTAAAATTCCACCAACGACAGCGTTGAATTGGAGGTCAGTAGCGGCAAAGTGACGATGTTGGGATTGGGGTCTTTGCGGGGGAGCAAGATCAGGCTAATTGGGGTTGGGGTTCTGCGGGGACGGGCATGCCCCCACGGGGTAATTCTCGTTGACTTCATAGAGACTGACGATGAGCGTTGTAGGATGATTTAAGTGAGTTTGGTAAGCAGATGCCTTATCTTGCGATAAGTGAAGTGGCTGGCTGGTGTGACCTCACTGGGCTCATCTCAATCAAGGTTTCAAGGCCACATCATGCCTCACCTCTCTGACATGATGCCAACACATTGTAACACTTCTCTTCATGCGTAGCAGTTATTAAACTTAATTGATAAGTCTATAAAGTGGCAGTGCTCTGTATTTATGGTTAACATTACGACTATCTCCACTCATTCCCTGATGCTGATGAAACAAGCTTGAAGGCGATCACGAATCACTCAGCCTCCTGCGGCTCAAGCCTCTCGGCCCCTAAACCTCCTCATCTGGTCACTATAGCCGCTTCATCAGATGAATCACTCATGCAACATCACATCAAACCTCTATCAAGATCGCCAAGCCCGACATATCTGCCCACATGCCGAAAGCCACGCATGCCCGTTTCAAAAACCCTATATCAATGTGTCACTGTTCATAACGCTGACAAACATGAAATATCACTCTAAAACATGAATCAGGGACACAAAACATGAAATATTACTTAAAACCGTATCTCGTCCATATGTCTTGGTCGCTGATGAAACACCACGTAACCGTACCCTGAAACAAGACAAGTTTGCAAAACATCTTGGCTACTAGCAAATTTGTCATATCTTGCGAAAGAGCAAATCTATCCATATTCTTGTCTCAGCTCGAGTTTCGGCCCTGAGATGAGGCTCGGCATGTGCCCGATCATCAGTGATTTCGAAATGTTATAAGATCATCTTGAGTTGCAGTCGGGAATAATGGTCTGATTCACAGATCAGTCTACCATCCTTACCTTCTTACCTTCTTTGAGTTATCGAAATTCTCTTCTTTTTTCTTTTACCCTCCTGGTGAGGATTTGTAATTGTTAATTTCAGTTTTGCTAGTTGGCTGGACCTTCTTTACGATACGCTCACTACCAACCAACCTTTTGAGTTTCGTTTTTGTTCATAATATTCAAGATGTTGTCCAAGACTTTTTTGTGGGCTGTAGTTGTCACTGCTATGCCACTCGTTGAATTGTCCCCACGGGAACTTCGTGAGCTTGAAGTTCACCAGCAAGTCTCGAGTAAGTTCTTTTAGTACTCAACCGAAGAACCATGCTGATACTTGATAGTCAAGAGAAATCCACACCTCGAAGGCCGAGCCAACAGAATCATCCCCGTTGTCGTCGGCGGTGCTCAAGATACCTTCGTTCCAAACATGATTCGAGCAGCAGCCGGAGACGTGATCCAGTTCCAATTTAGTAATGGAAATCATACTGTAACCCAAAGCTCTGAAGACTCCCCATGCCAGCCACTCCAGGCTACACAGTCTGGAGTAATCCACAGTGGCCATATTCCTTTCGAGGCTGGACAGACAACCGTTGGGACGTTCAATGTTCCTCTTAACAATACAGAGCCTATCTATTTGTACTGTGCTACTGGGCCGCACTGTCAGATCGGTCAGGTGATGGCCATCAACCCGTAAGTCCGACTCCACTCTGTGCTACACAGAACAGCTACTGACCGCTCCCAGCCCCTCTGAGGAAAACTTGGTCCAGTTCTCCAAGAAGGCAGCCGGTGCCCTGGCCAACGTCGACGCTGGCGCAGCTACAGGCGGAACGGTCGGAGAGATTCCGTTGGCAGATGCAGCGTTTACTCCCGCTGAGGAAGAAGCTCCTCCCGCGCCCCCTGCAGAGAGTACTCCTGCTGCAAGCCCGCCTACACCTTCTGCACCTTCAGCCCCTGCACCCCCAGCTGAGACGCCTTCCAGCACTCCTGGAGCAGCGGCTATGGAAGCACATCACCGCCTTGGATATTAGCGGGCCTTCCGGGTTGTGTACAGCTTAGGAAGTTAGGCATCTAGTTTACCTGGGACGCTCTTAACTTTTGCATATCTAGTCAGCTTTATCCTAAAATATACTGATCTCAAATCTCAAAACTTGTTCTTCCTTCTCATACTCGTCAAACATGAAAGGACTGTAAACAACATCGTCGTTTCGTGTTGTTTCCCAAGATCACAACGTTTTGTTCTCACTTTCTTTTTCTTTCTTTTTACTTCCAATGAAAAGTCCCCAGCATCATCTATGACTCATTTACGGCCAACGTAATTCAAGAACGTTGCGCAAATGCTTCGTTTGAGTTGACGGCCAAGTTGTTTGCCGTTGAGGACTGATGTCTCGACTCTCGGTTGACAGCCTCCCTAGCACACCAGAAACAAAACGCGGCTTTTCTGGTGTAACAGTGGCTTATGGGCTCTTGCATATAGTCTTCCTGAAATTTAAGTCTGTTCATTTTGCTTATCATGACAAACCAGTCTAGCTGGTGTATTTGTCACGTCCTTCTTCTCATTTCGACATATTTCCTTTCCCTTCTTTCGCATCTCCCTGTCCCCCAAACTCATTCGCAGTCATCACCATGGATCTGCTTTCTTTTCCTCCGGAAATACTTGACAAAATATGCAAAGAGCTCTGCAATCACTGTCAGACTAAGCACCTCTCTCATATCCCCCACGAACAAGACCTGATCACATCTTGTCCAAGTAAAATCTGGGAGCACGATGCCGAAGGCGTCAAAGCCCTTGTTAATCTTTCCAAGACATGTCAAACGTTGAACACACTCACTCTGCCCCATCGCTACCACCGCATCGAACTCAAGCGCGACATCCCCGATACCCGGGAATTCATCGCACATAGCAGAGATAGTGCGCATCATGCCCTCAAACATGTTCGCAGTCTCAGCTTGGCCTGTACACAGGCAATGACCGATTGCTACAATCAATTACCGGATAGTCAAAAACACGGTCCCAATTTCCTCTGCATGGTGTTTCATCATGCGCTCAAGATCCAGCTGCTTCGTATAAACCTCAACTTGGACGATCAATTCAATGTCTCCCGTCGAACAACGGCAGAGTCACTACGGTATCTACACATTGAGTATTCTGACTCCGAGTCATACTACTACCTCGAATGCTTTCAGATATTTTATTTGCTCCGAGAGGCGCTCAAGCTCGACACTCTGGTCATCCAAGTCACCAGTTTGTTCGGTTGGTTTCCGTCATTGAGACTTGGAAATGTCAAATGTCTCAAACTTGTCGACACCATGGTTAGTCCTGAGTGCCTCGGAAAGCTTCTCAAATCATGCCCACAGCTTGCATCATTCATATTCAGCTTTCCCGCAAATATGCGTGACTGGTTGGAAGGAGGAGATGGTCATATGACTACACTCCAAACGCTGCCGCAAGTGCTTTCTGTACGACAGGAAACGCTACGGTATGTTGAACTTTACTGGGGGCCACAACCTGTAAATGATAACGAAATGCACATCGTGGGCTCTTTCAAGGCGTTGACTAACCTTGAGAGGCTGGCCCTGGGCGGTCCGGGGTTTCGCTTTGAAAAGGCTGAGAACAACAAGACGCTAGAGACATGCCTTGTCAGTCTCCTGCCACCGTCAATCCGCAGCGTCAGCATTGATTCGGATCATATGAGCATCCATGAACCGATTTTCGCACTGGGTGAAGCGGTCAAGCAGGGCTCGTTTCCGATGCTGAAGGAGGTCCGATGCTATAATTGGTTGTATGTGCATTTGAAGGGTTTCTTGCTTGAGAAGGCTTCTACACATTCATCTATAACTCGAGAGGGGTTGCAAGATTGCTGGGAGAGTAGCAAATCCTCACATCGTCTACTATTACAGTTAAGCAGGACATGTGATGTATCGTTCAGTGCAACGAACAAGGGCCTTTTTGAACGTGGTGCTGGGAGGCGGAAAAGAAGTTAGGACTGGAATTACCTAGCTTATGGTTAATTCACTGGTAGCCTATGTAGTATATCTGAAGTACTTCTGAGCTACTCCAGCAATCAAGAATGAATTATGTGCCAAGTATCTGTTAATGTTCCCTGCATCTCTAGCGATATACAAACATTTTCAGGCTCTTCAGCAACAACCGCCGAGTTTGACCTCCGTGGCCGGGGTTTTATTTGCCACTTTCTTTCCTGTGGCTTCTTGTGTCACCTTAGGGCAGTACGCTTAGCATGCATCATATCTCAGCTGCATAGGCTATCTCATCATTCACGCGTTTCCCTCACGCGTCAGGACGAATCATCGCGTCACTATTTCTTTGCTTGTGTAACCCTTACTCATATAAATCCTTGGAAGCCCACCGACTCCCTTCTCGTTCTTTCTTTCTTTCTCCCTCATGCACCTCGCAGCCAAATCAACTCATCATGATCAAGCCTGCCCTCGATCATATGCCCCCAGAGGTTCTGGCCGAGATATGCTGGCATCTCTGCAGCCACTGCACAAATGACCATCTGAGTCACTACCCCCAGCCAAACTCACTCGCAACTCCTGATCCAGGGAAGCTATGGGAGAAGCCATCTGCTGAGGTCACCACCGGCCTTCTGAGCCTTGCACGCACCTGTCGGGTTCTGAACAACGCTGCGACGCCATACCTCTACCACAACATCGACGCAAGAGGATGGCCAGAAGAGAAGATCACGGAATTCCTGAAGGGTCGCCGCCAGCTGCAGGAGAGATCCTTCATCCGTCGCCTGACTTATGAACTCGACCCGTTCCCCTTGTACACTCTGCTATGCAGAATGCCTGATCTCCAGCTACTCTCTTTGGTAGACCGTGGCTCCTTCGGTCAGACACTCGCAAGCAAAACACAGAAAAAGCTGCATGATCTGCGATATCTGCACCTCGAAAGCACATCTCCCACGCACAAGCGTGATCTAAGCACACTGGAGAACTTGTTCGAAATGGCACCCAACATCAAGACATTTGCCATGAAATCCGGTCACATCGAGTGGAAAGGGAATCCACGCAGCTCCCCTAAAGGGCCCCTAGCAAACCTCACTTGCCTGAAGCTTTTCAACGTGAGTGTCGACCCGCTTGCTCTTGAAGAAATCCTCGCAAAGTGCGACCCTCTTGAGTCATTCGTATACATAAGCCAGCGAGGAGTGTCTGCAATGCCCGCGAACCTCTCATTCGCACTTGACAAATCCTCTTCCACCTTGCGTTACTTAGAATGCTGCTGGCACTCAATACATGATGCGCCTTCGGTATCCTTACTCCTCCGTTCGCTCAAGACTTTCGAAAGACTACAGACGTTAGTTCTCGGTGGGGATTCACTTTCTATTGGAATATCCGGCAATGATGATGCTACCAGTGCCTTTTATGTAAAGAATCTTGACCCAGCAAGTCTAACCGAGCTTCTGCCCGCTTCTATTGTCGAGGTTCGGATCGACTCGAAACACCTCCACAAGGACATGTACCAGCCTATGGTAGTATTGTGCCAGGCAAAGCAAGCTGGGTCATTCCCAGAACTTCGGACCTTCTTGCAGAGCAACTTCGATGCTTCTGAAGTTCCTTACACTTTGGGGGACCTCAACCAACTATCTGAGAGATACGGGGTCTCGTTCAAACAAGAGGCGAGATCTGTATTCCCACTGCCTGTAGCTCGTCCCGCGAGGCTCATTCGTCGGGTGCCCGCGAGGCGTGGGCCCCTGGCGTGGGCAATGGATCAAACCTCCCCGTAGACATTGGGTCTAGTGGTTTTAAGGATAGTATGTCAAGATTGGATGACTTGTGCCCTGGCATGAAAGAGGATAATGGTGTCATGTAGCTCGCTCAGCAGCAATGTTACCGCAGTCGATGATAGCAATACAATACATGCGCAACAGCATCTTACTCTTAGTTTTGTAGCTTCTTATCGCTCTCACTCACATTATTCCGAGATAGCGTTGTGAAATTGAAGATTGGCGAATCGGTGAGTGGACTCCAACTCAATTAGTTCTCACCTCTTGTGTGACTCATTCACGATCCTTCGACGCTAAACTATACGCGCATATATGAGCCTCATTCAGAATCTCCTGCCAAGAAACCTACTGTTTCTGATAGTTTATGTTTCAAGAAGACAGAATCCCAAGATTATTCTCTATAGCCCAGCAAATCGCAGTTCGCAAACCACGATGGAGATAGCTCAGCACTTCATCGAGGCAGAGAACCTCACCGACGTCGAAACCGCTGGCGAAGGTCTCGAATGCCTTGTTTACAAAGCAAGGTCTCCAGCGTATGGACCAGTCGTTCTCAGAGTACCCAGAGTCAAGGTCTACCAGAACGCTAATGACCCAAACACCAACGCAAGTGATCTCATTCAACAAGAGATGACGATCTACAAGCTTTTAGAAAGCTCATCCGTTCCTGTTCCAAAAGCATACAAGTACCTTGAAGAAGATGGTTATCCAGCGATGTTGTGCGAGTACGTGGACGATGATGGAACGGAGATCACGTCCAAGGAAATGGGTCGTGTAGCGGCGATGATACACTCAACGCCATTATCTGGCCCAGCGATTAAAATAGTTGCTTTGGAAACGGAAGATGTGTTCTCAACGATTGAGCAAAGACTCAAAAGACGCTTCTCGGTGCTATCGCACACAATCCCAGGGGCATCAAGCTGGATAACAAGCTGGATAACAAGCTGGGACCTCATTCACACCATCCTCGAAGATCTCAAACGCTTCCCTTCGAGTCTACTTCACATGGACTTTCGCGACGTCAATCTCCGTCACAAAGATGGACGAATAAGCGCTGTCATCGATTGGACAAACGCCCTCGTCGGTCCAGCAGCCATTGATCTCTTCCGTACGCTAGAGTTCAGCAAACTTGACGAGAGCTTCGTCGAAGGGTACACTCAAGTGGCTACCTGGCCGGATACAACACCTGAGGAAGAGTCGCTGCTAAGGCTTGATGCTGCGCTTGTGCTGGCGTTGGTATTCACGTCAGAGGCGCCGGATGCTGAGAGGGCCGAAGTTGCGGTCGCGAGGGTGAAGGAACTCTCAAAGAGCCTCGTGGAAGCTGCGTCGCGCGAATAAGAGATATTTGTGTTGGTTTTTATGAGTGTTGAGCATTGATACGTAAAGCGAAAGGGCTCTCAACGAGTTAATGACACAGATTGGCGTGGTGAAAGGACTGGCTGAATGGAATGGCGTTACTCAACTTACGCAAACAATTGAACTGTTTTGTCACTATTGCCTGGTCCATTAAATGGACATCTGCATTCGCGATATGTGAATTATCTGTAAAGATTGTCGAAATTGGTTTCTTAACTGGGCGTTGCCAGTAAGTGCCAACAATATTGTTCAAGTCTTAGACCATAGGTACGGAACGAAGTCCAACCTGGGCGAACGGCATTCTTTACGTTCTATATACATACATCGGCCGCCTGACAGGGCGGCATAGAGTAGTTCTCGCATAATGTATTAGTCTATTGTCATAAAATATGTGTGTGTATATATGCAGTCTATCGTCCACCCCAATGCACCAACTTATCATGGCACTTATCCCAGCCCTCAAAGTACGGCTTTCTCCTCTCATCACCCGCACCTCCAGCCCTTGCCAGATACTCTAGCACCATGTTTCCCCAAAGCCAACTCGCAGGTCCCTTGCCTGGGTGCGTCTGATCCTTATACAGCATTGACAACGACGAGATCAGGCGTCCCCATTCAAACACTTCATGGCCCGCCTTCTCCGCGGTCGCACGCGCAAGTCTCTCAAGATCATAGATACTTGCATCTCTAGCATCGCTCTCACGGTGCATAGTCATCGCGCGGAACATCACAGGCGCGTCTCCAAATTCAGTGTGTATTCTCTCAACAAACGTGCGGATTCGAGCAGCGACGAAGCGGATTTCCTGCCAGACTAATTGACGCACTCGGGTTCCCATAGGATACACGTCTTTCTCGTGGTTAGCTTCACCGGCTTCCCAGAAAGCGCGCTGGTCCCAGAGGCCGTTTTGCCAGAGGATTAGATCGGGGTGGCCATTTGGACCGCGGACTTGGTCGTGGAGGGGAGTCCAGTATTTATCCCAACGTTCTTCGAGGGAGATCTCCTCCATGTCGTCCATCCACCACCAATCGGGACGGTACGTCATACTACCGGCGAAGTGCCAGTGGTGGAATGTCAGGTTGAACTCGGGAATATCGCAGGAGGCGACGGTGTGTGGCTTAGGCTGCTTCATACCGCGCTTGAACTCGCCGCAGAAGAATTGCATCATGAATCGATCGACAGAATCGCTAAAGAGGATGATACGACGACCCCAGAGCCAGCCGAAGCCGCCGTCATCCTTCATCTCAGCAAATGCCTGAACGCTTGTCTCGCCATTGGCGTTTATCGCACTCTTTCGTCGGTTACTCTCGGCAATTGCCTCAGCAAGCCATTGTCGCGGTGTAGAAGCTAGTTCAACGAATTCTTCTTCAGGTTCTGTCGCATTGAAGATGACATCGCCAGCCGCAGGATACACAGCGTAATCGGGCGCATCCGCCTCAAGCAGGTCATCTGTGAAGGGGATCCATTGTGTCTTCTTATACTGATCGGTACCGTTTATATCAGCAGGAATATAAAGATACCCAGGTCTTCGATAGGGATCCTCGCAGTTCAACTCTTGAACTTCAGGCGCAGAAGTGTTGGTGGTGGTGGTGGTGTTGTTCTGTGGCGATCTGTAATAAAGTTAAACAATCGTTAGCGCAAGCCAAGTGCAATGCCAAGTTTTTTCGCGCGCTGTCATCAAATTCCGGGGAATTCAACGGTCGGCGAGACTAGGAGATTTCTGACGTACGGATACGAGAAAGTACTATCCCAATACTCTTCTGCTTTGTTATGTGCGTAAACCCACGGAACTTCTAATGATTCTTGGAAAGAAGTAAAGACAACGATGAAAAATAAGAGAACGGCTGCGACGGTAACGCCCGTCATCAACGGAGACCGCGACATTGTAG